GCTAAATTTGCTTCCGTACTTGTCTGACATTTACTGTTCAGCCCAAAATTCCCTCAATTGTTGTCTCATGACTGTTGATCACAGCAGTCAGTCATAGTTTCTCCATTTGCAGGCAGCACGGGTTGTTTTTTTTTGTTGTTGTTTTTTTTAACAGAATCTGGTTATTCTAAATGGTTTGTTTAAATTATTATTGTGATTAATGTGTGATTAGGTGAAAAAATGAGGATTCCCTTTGTTTTTACAATATCCATCTTGAATAAATTATATAATTGTGACTTTTTTGGGGTAAGTAATATACCTTTCAAACCTGCTGGCGGGTTTTGGGGTTCAGAGGGTTAAGACTCAGCAGATTAAACAAATCTTCACTTTCATTTGAATACTGACACTAATGTGTATAATCACCAGACTCTTTGAATGTTGGGCACTACCCTGGGGTGTCTGCTCCCCCTGGTTGTATGTCCCTGATCGTCCCCTGTGGCCTGGGAGAGGTGGAGCTGGCTCTCACCTTTGAGATGTTTGTCACTGTAAACAGAAATGTCCTTCTCCAACTTCCAGAAAACGCCACTTCTTCTCTCAGCATCACTCTCAAAAGGTATGTTTGTGTTTGAGAACCTGGGTTGCATCATGTGGTCCAGATGTACGTGGTGATCGTGCTTCCTTCTTTTCCAGGACTGAAAGCTGTGAGAGCGAGTACCTCTCTGCTGGCAGCCGCCTCCTGTCTGCAGCTTGTATCCCTCAGCCCAAGCTAATTGTACGCTACATAGAAGTTAATTCCTCACGAGAGCAGGTGTTCACACTCGACGTTTCCTCTGCTCGACGCTGGCTTCGCCACAATCTGTGGGCCAACGAAGTGTGGCCAAACTGAGCCAGACATGCTGCCCGTGGAACTACTTAACTTTTGTTTCTCTTGACCCTGCTTATGTTCAGCGTCAGCTCAACATCACACGACTTTAGGAAAACAACCAATGAAATCTGGAAAGCGAATGAATGCATTTTTGTTGGCTCATGTTTCAATTTAGCCTTTGACTGAGAGGCAGAGAATACAAACCAAAGACTGACACTGTAACTTTACACTTTGTTTTATGTTCAGTGAAGTTTTACGATATGTTTAGAGGTTATTTCTGTTAATTCCTTGTCATTTTCAGAGTTCTTTGATCAAGTTTGTCATTGTTTGTGTGATTTTTCTATTTGAAAAAAAAGTCTTCAGAAAATAATCCTGCATCATTCTGTGGGACTGTTTACGAGATCAGGTTTATGTAACTGTAAATAGAATGAGTGTAAATAGGTATATATTTAGTGTTTAGTCTTCTAAGTGTTAGTCTTTGACAGTAGGATGTTACTGTATCGTATTGATTGTCAAAATCTTAATTGTTGCCAGTTAAAGAGCTGTGATTTACATTTTCTTTGTAGGAAGTTTTTATATGTATAAAAAAAGCTGTTCTGCTTCAAAAATCAAAAAGTGTGTTTATTTTTTGACGGGAGGAAAACAGTCCTTATCCATGGATTAACGGGCTGTACCTGTTGGTCTAGCGCTGTAATACAATGAAAAAA